ATTTCAGGGATGATGTAGATGCATCTCATACGATATGCACTCTCGGGTAGAAGACGGTACATTTACCAGGACCAGTACGACAGCACGTCCAGCCCTTGCTTTGCCGATGCCTGTGAAATTGGAGTTATGACTAGCGATTCTAGCCCTTGCTTGGATTATACACGTTCTGCTTTGCAAACCCAGGATCAACAACGTAGTATATCCCATCTATTGTCAAAGAAGCTTCTGCAATATTTGTAGCTACAACCACTTTCCGTGTACCAGGAGGTGGAGGATCAAATATTCTAGACTGCATTTCACTAGGAAGGGCACTGTAAACTGGAAGTATGATGAGTTCGGGTACCTTTTTACCTAGACCTTTCATTCTCTCATACAAAGACTGACATGCAGAATCGATTTCTTCCTGTCCCGTCAAAAAGAGGAGAATGTCACCCTCGGGCTCTGTCAAGTGAATTTGAAGGACTGTGATAAGAGCTGCATCCAAGTAATCTGATTCTGGCTGTTTGGTATACAGTATTTCAACAGGGAAGGTTCTTCCAGGAATTGTGAAAATGTTGCAGTTGAAGAAATACCCAGAGAATTTCTCAGCATCCAATGTGGCGGACGTGACTATCAGACGAAGGTCAGTCCTACGTTTCAACAGCTTCTTCAGAAGACCAAACAGCACATCAGTGTGAATTGTCCGCTCGTGAGCTTCATCAAGCATGACAACAGAGTACTGAGAGAGGTTTTCATCTATCAGAATCTCCCTAAGAAGCATACCATCAGTCATGTACTTGATCACCGTATCTGGTCCAGTACAATCCTCAAACCGAATCGCATACCCTACCTCCTCTCCTAAACGGCAACCAAATTCCTCAGCTACTCTCTTGGCAACAGACATCGCGGCGACCCTCCGAGGTTGAGTACACCCAATCTTTCCTTTTGTTGTGTAACCTGCTTCAGCAAGATACTGAGTCACCTGTGTTGTCTTCCCAGACCCAGTCTCACCAATGACCACCAGAACTTGGTTATCGTGCACAGCCTGTATCAGCTCCTTTTTCAACTTGTATATGGGAAGGCTCTCCCTTTGCTCCTGGATAGAAAGCTTTGATCTCTGACCAAAAGTTGGAGTTTTCCCGAAAGCATCCTTCTTCCATTCAGGCATGTCATAAGCTGATAACCCGACACCCCTAAGCTCCTGAGCAAGATGCCTTTCACCTGTTTCAGGCATAGGGTCTTCCCAAGGACGATTCAGATCCTTGGGGATTGAGTCAAGCATTGTTCTTTGCTGCTGTTCCCTCATTTCTCTCCTCTCCTTGGTGAGTGCAGACTGAAGTGCAGCGGCACGACTTAAGGACCCTTCTGGATTTTTGAAGATCTTAACTGGAGACATGTCAACAGAGTACCTAGTTTGGCCCTGTAAGAAAGCAGGTTCGTCTTCATTCATCTCAATTTCAAGTTCTTCTTCAGCACCTTCCTCTTGATAAAGCATCCCATCTCCGTCCTCGTCGTAATTTGGAAACTCATCCATTCTCAAGGCACCAGAGGCGATCAACTGCTTCGCTTCCCATCTCTCAGGGGAGCTCATTTTCTTCAACGGCCTACGTGAAGGCGCAACATCACTCTCTTCCACAATACGGATCCCCGAAATCCCAGTCTTGGTGACTTGTCCATCCTTTGTTCTATATGATGGATTACTCCTGGATGAATCATCATCATTTGAAGGCTTCTTCAGAGGGATCAAATCTCTTCCCGTATTCTGATCAACATCCCTCATGGAAAGACTGTATTGACCATTCGAAATAGATATTACTTTGACATAAACCTCCGTATCCCGCTTCACCACATCTTTCGCCTTGTCAACCCTTCTAGTAGCTAACTGAGAAACATGAACTAAACCTTCTATTCCTCTAAATCTATCGAATTGAACAAAACATCCTTTGTCCATTACCCTAGTCACTTTACCTTTGTATACCTGATACAGCTCCGGCTCATTCGCGCCGCCGCCGCCTCTATCGTCCTCCATGTACTCATCCTTGGCACGTCTATCTCTACGCCTATCACTTCTTCCATCTTCACCTTCATCATCGCCACGGGCTCTATCTCTATGCCTATCACTTCTTCTTTCTCCACCTTCATCATCGCCACGGTGTCTTTCTCTATGCCTATCACTTCTTCTATCTCCACCTCCATCATCTCCACGGGGTCTATCTCTATGCCGATCCCTTGTATCATCTCGATCCCTATCCCTACCGGATTCTCTCCGATCTCGACCCCTATTTCGATCCTCCTCTCTCTGTCTCTCCCGAGCTTCTCTTTCAATCTCCTTCTCAAGCTCCTTAACTCTATCCTTAGTATCCTTAATCGCCAAACCTTTGAATCTCTCTTTATCACCATCTTCTACATCGTCTCTCTTCTTCTCGGACTTGGGCTTCGGAGGGTAAATCCCGTGGATAACAGTTAACAGCGAGCGGACGAAGTAATCCGGCATCTCTGCGCCGTTCTCCTTGAGCTTCTTATCGAATTCATCGACAGTCTCAGAGTGACGGCCAAGATGGATGATGAACTCGGCCAACTCCTTTGGCGCATCTCCTAGATGCGTCTCCAGCTCGTTACAGACATTGGAGACGAGAGAGAGATGATTCAATTTTTTGAGTTCCTTATTTTCCATGGACGAAATCACGAAGAATCCAAGACGAATCGAAGAACAACTTGTTTCTGGATATCGATTTCTAGGGTTGTTTTCTGCTTTGCTCTTTGGCCCCCTTTTGTTTTTGGTTCTTCTACTTCAATTAACTAAAAAAAATAAGCCGACTATTCAGAACGCTGCGTTTCAAACGTGTTTTTGAGAATTATCCTTTTCCTTAAGGTTTTGTAAATTGTAATTGGGCATATGCCAAATTGTCTAGTTCTGCTTTGCTATTGTTTTTTCCTTTAGGGTTTAATATTTGTAAGCCCAATAACTCTTTGCTTTTTTGTAAGCCCAAAAACTCCTTATTCCTCCGGAGAAATTATTTTGCTTAGAGATAAAGACTATACTATAACGTGTTCTAATTATGTTGAGCTATAAGGTGTTAAGAACACATCGAAAAGATTCCTACACAGTCTTGATGGATTATACTAAATTCAAACGTCTTTTAGACGCAGTGGGCTCTTTTAGACGCAATGGCAAACGTCTTTTGGTGTCTAAAACTAAAATCAACATCTTTCGGATACGAATTCTGATTGTGTGTGATCCTTAAGACATGATTTTTGGACGGCGGGATTTTTGGACGGCGGGATTAACTAAAATCAACATCTTTCATCCTTAAGACATGATTTTTGGACCGTGATAAGTTTTGGACCGATCTGGTCGACATAAATTTGGGTATCCAAACATTTTTATTTGCAACACAGGCGTTATAAGAAAAAAAAAACCAAACTGAATGTACTATTGTACATTAGATTCGGATTTTATACCCAGCTTAATAAAATTAAACTGGGGTATTAAAGTTTTCCCAACAAAAGAAATAATAAAGATGGTGTCACCTAACCAACTAGCCTCACCTACCTTATAAACCGCATGAAGAAATCGAGTTACCCCACGGACTCACTCAAATTGTTCTTTTGATAAGTGAGGTTTTTATTTTTACTATATACCATTTGCATTTAAATATAACTTAGATACTTGATCGTATATTATACTGATTTTATAGAATTGCGGAAAAGAAATCCACAAAAATAAAGTTATAGATTTTAGTCTGATATAAAGCACTTAAGCTGATTTTACAATCTAAGATTTCATTCCCCAATTTCACCATTCCAAATAGAAAATCTAACAAGTGCCCACCTATTTACCTGAGTCTAATTGTCTTTTACTACATCCAAAGACCGGAATTTCCACCTTTTTTTTCTTCATCTTTTTACAAGTGGGCATTTGTGAGGTCCTGAGGCCCAACCAAAGAGCCTCTCTCTCTCTCCTGTTACTCAACATTCCACAAGAACCACACAAATTCATAACTCTTACGCTAACTCAAGAAGCATCCAAACTCAATCCTCTCACCTCCACCTCACATTCCCCGGCGCCACCAACACTACTAACCCTTTCTCTAGTCTCCTGAAATCAAAATCTATTATGCAACAACATTTTCATCATCATCAACATCACCATCATCTTCTTCATCATCCATGGCCCATATCCCATCTCTGTAGATTCTCATCCCTCTACCTTCTTCTCATTTTCTCCTCTTGATCCCCATACATCTAATTCCCTCTTCTTCTTCTTCTTCTTCTTCTTCTTCTTCTTCTCAGATATGACTCTTCCTTATCGTTTCTCTTCGGTAAGAAACCACTCGCTTCTACTAAGGACTTCTCATCTCTGCACACCCAGATCAGCTCTCGGTTGTTTCTCTCCCAAGGAATCTCCTTTCTTCAAGAAGACCAGTACCATTTTCCTTTCTCCTCACAAACACACTTCTCTTCCCCTGAAACTCGTCTGCCCTTTAGCCAGCTTCTCCTCTTACGCGGATTCTGAAGGAGACGAGAAGCACCATGGCGATCAACAGATACAGAATTCTAACGAATCATCTACCAATTCGACCGAATCAGATGGAAAAGGGAATGCAGAGGCTACCGGCGACTTCTCTGGAATGGCTCAAGCCTTTAACATTTCTTCCAACACAGCGAGGGCAATCTCAATAGCCATCGCCTTCTCTGCTCTGTCCTTTCCACTCTTCATGAAGTCCCTGGGACAAGGGCTGGCTCTCAAGACCAAGCTCCTCTCTTACGCGACACTACTCTTCGGTTTCTACATGGCGTGGAACATCGGAGCTAATGATGTGGCCAATGCCATGGGGACTTCTGTTGGATCCGGAGCCCTTACCATCCGGCAAGCTGTGATGACGGCTGCAGTTCTTGAATTCTCAGGGGCTCTTTTGATGGGAACTCACGTGACGAGCACGATGCAGAAAGGGATTCTCATGGCTAATGTGTTCCAAGGGAAAGATATGTTGCTCTTTGCTGGTCTCCTCTCTTCCTTGGCTGCAGCTGGAACTTGGTTACAGGTTCCATCTTATCTTTTGCCTCTTCCTCACTATTTTCAAGAGAAGATTTAGTAAAGTTAATACCTTTTTAGGATGGCAATGGCAAATGATACAAGTAGAGAACTTTAGTTGAACTGCACTGCAGTGTCTGAAAAAGATTGTGTAATTATGAATTTCACAGGTGGCTTCTTACTATGGATGGCCAGTATCAACAACTCACTGTATCGTAGGATCAATGGTTGGGTTTGGGCTTGTCTACGGAGGAGCTGGTGCCGTATTTTGGAGTTCTCTAGCTAAAGTAGCTTCCTCTTGGGTTATCTCTCCTGTAATGGGAGCACTTGTCTCCTTCCTTGTCTACAAATGCATCAGGAGAGTAAGTAAAACCAAAATCAAATCAATCCAAAGAATCAAACTTTGTATATTACACAAACTCTTCCTTAATCTTCCTTTACATTTGCACACTGTTCTCTTTGTCCTGTGCAGTTTGTTTACAGTGCACCAAACCCAGGACAAGCGGCTGCTGCAGCGGCTCCCGTCGCTGTGTTCGTCGGTATCGCCAGCATTTCATCAGCCGCATTTCCTCTTAGCAAGACGTTTCCAATAGCTATATCACAAGCCTTAGCCTGTGGAGCAGCAGGAGCCATTGTCTTCGACAGAATCATCCGGAATAAGCTCGGTCACCTCCTCGCCAAAACGAAATCACCGGAAACATCTCAAAACCAGCCCAAAAGCATCGGTTTCCTCTCCGATATCGCAGGTCCTACAGGTACTCAGCTCGAGATAGTCTACGGAATCTTTGGCTACATGCAAGTCCTCTCCGCTTGCTTTATGTCCTTCGCTCACGGAGGCAACGACGTATCGAACGCGATCGGACCTTTAGCCGCCGCATTGAGTATCCTCCAGAAAGGAGCAGCTGCAGGAGGCGGCGAAATCGTGATTCCCATGGATGTTCTCGCCTGGGGAGGATTTGGGATCGTTGCGGGTCTCACGATGTGGGGATACAGAGTGATCGCTACGATTGGGAAGAAGATCACTGAGCTTACACCGACTCGAGGGTTCGCGGCGGAATTCGCCGCCGCGTCGGTGGTTCTGTTTGCTTCCAAGTTAGGGCTTCCGATTTCGGCGACTCATACGCTCGTTGGAGCTGTGATGGGTGTTGGATTCGCGAGAGGGCTTAATAGCGTGAGAGCAGAGACTGTGAAAGAGATCGTTGCTTCGTGGCTAGTCACGATTCCCGTCGGTGCTACACTCGCCGTAATCTACACTTGGGTTTTCACCAAGATCTTATCTTTTGTGTTGTGAGTTTCTTGTCAGTTTTTTTTTTCTTCTTTTTGGGATCTCTGGTTTTCAACGAAGAACATTGATCTTCTTCTATTTGGCTTGATTGATTCGGATTCAAAAACTAAAATTATATGTGGAGATTGTTCCTAATGATTCTGATCTTTCGATTCAAAAAAATCTGATTTTTCACCAATCGGTGAAGTATGTATGAATATAAATGATCAAAAGCTTAAAGCTTTCTTTCTAGTTCATTGTTCGTCTCGTCGTCCGAGTAAATTCGAATTAGAGTGGGTGTCGTTTGATTCCTTTAAAAACGTCTTGTCGTTTGTTGCCTGGTCGGAAAAATGTCAATCTCCGATGAAACTGTGGTGATGTTGTTTTCGTGAGACGCGCGCATCTCTTGCTTTTCGTACACGCGTCCTGAAGAAAGACTGACATGATGAGTTTCTTTAATGACGAAACTACCCTTACACGCATCATCAGTTCAGCGATTTCAAATTGGAATCACGAGGGTATTTTAATAAATTCATTAATGGTCACCACGAATTAAGAGAGATATCTCATCTTCTTTGCTTCTCTGGTTCTACTTCTTCCTCTCAGTTTACAATTCTGTGCTCCGATGGCGGCGGTTATCGGAAACGTGGCGTTGTTGCTCGACGTTAATTCTCATCGTGCGGTGGTTACTGATCGGAGAATTCGTTTGACGGTGGCTGATATCGTTCTTAATTTACAGAGTCAGAAGAGAGATTCGCACAGTCATGCCTACTACGCGGCTCTCTCCTCCAATAAGCCTCTGGAATCTGACGGAGATGCTCGGATTCGCCGGTTTTTGACTCGCGGAAAGGCGAATTCCAGGGCTAACGCTGTCGATTTCGACGACGCGGGATCCAGCGACGAGGAAAGCGGCGGCGACGGTGGTGGTGGTGGTGACGGAATGGAGACGGATGAGGAGGAGAAAGCTTACGATTTGGAGAAGGAGAGGAAGAGGAGAGCAAAGGAATTGCAGGATATGATGGAGCTTGAGAGGAAAGCGGAGGAGTTGCAGTATAAGGTTGAGGAAGAAGGGGAAGATTCCGAGGAGAAGAAGAGGATGAGGGTGAAAAGAGAGCTCGAAAAGGTGCGTCTTTTTAGGGTTCTTATTGCTCACTCACTCACCTTAATGTTGATATTACTGAGACAAAAGTTCAAATTAGTATTAAGTTGAAAAAGCTTCTGAAATGTGAGTTTTTTATATATATAATGAACAGTCATGGATTAGTTTAGTTTATCTTAGTGGAAGCCATGTGAGGATGAAAGTTGAAGTTTTTTTTTTTTTAAAAAAATGCAATTTTAAGAGCTGGTGATGTGCTCATAGAAGAGACTGGTGAGAGCAGGTAGCTCAGGAGCAAGCAGAGAGAAGAGCAACTGCGGAATTGATGTTTGAATTGGGTCAAAAGGCTTATGGTAAAGGAATGTATGGACGAGCAATAGAGTTTCTTGAAGGAGCTCTTACCATTATCCCAAGGCCAACACTCTTTGGTGGTGAGGTTGGTTTGAAAAAAAAACACCAGTTAGGTACTTTTTTCTAATTTTGAAAAAAAAAGGAGTTGATTTTGCTAATGATCTCTGGGGGGGATTGATTTTCCAGATTCAAATTTGGTTAGCTATGGCATATGAGGCCAATAATCGCCACGCTGATTGCATTGATCTTTATCAGCAACTAGAGAAGAGACACCCGAGTCCTGGTATTCGTCGTCAAGCCTCTGAACTTAGGTATATCTTGCAAGCACCTAAGCTCAAGATCTCTCAAGAGGAAATGGTTACTATACCCATGATCGGTTCAAGTTACGACAGGTGAGTTAAGAACTTAGGCTTCCTGGATTGACTTATATGTGCTATGTCCCCGTGGCTAACGCATATCAAACGTCACTTGAAATGGTTTTTGTGTTATATATGTGCACAGCTATGCAGTGACGTGGAGTGACAAGGATAGGGATAAGGAGCGGCGAATGAATGAATCGACTACGAATCAGCTTGGCACGAGTCAAGACTTTCTAGGAAAGCTCTTGGTTTGGCGACCACCCGTGGGGATGGAGAAGAACCAAGCCTTTTGGCTTGCTTTGACATTGTGGTTCGGTTTAGTTGGAGCAGCACTTTTCCTACAAAGATAAGTGAAAGAAAGGGAAAAATGCTTTCATTTCCTTTCAATTTATGGTTTGGTATCATTTCTCTCTCTCGCTTGTCTTGTAATTATAATTTGATCGATTTCATGTACAAATTTTTAAGGATACGAAATCATATCTCATTGTATATATATAAAGTATATGACATCTAGAAATTATAATATATCACTTTTTCTGTATTGCTTTAGTAGTAATATAGTGATTGTTATTTACAAAAGTTTTTACCAAGAACAAAATTTGAGGGAAATGAGAAGAGAGTTTTGGGGTCTTCAAGGTAAGAGTAGTGCAAGCTAAACAAGCAATGCCAAGCGTGCATTTTTCCTGTAGACTCTCGTGGTTTTTACTGTTGTATATTTTCTTTTTCAAACTACTAAATTCTCCTCTAAATTGAGGAATGAATCTTACGTCTTATGCTAAGCTTGTGTGTATTTACGTATTAGAACTACTTCTTCTAAATCTATACCATTTTTAACTCTATAAAAAGTCCTACTTACTTGTTTTTGGACTTGACTTATGATCATTGCTTAATTATAAGTTACACACACAAATATATATACTTAGTTAATCTTGCTTCAACGATTAACTTCAAGGAACTATAATTTCCGATTTAAAGCCTTATTACGATTCCACACTTGGTTTGGGTTGTGTTACTGACCTGAATCATGATATAAGATGTACGTACCACTCCGAAAAGCAACAACATCCCATACTTGTAAAAAAATTTTTTTTTATCATCAGTAGTACATCTCCAATATATGTTTCCATATTTTTCTCTATTTTAGAGTATCTCCAATGTATGTTTCCATATTTTTCTTTATTTTAGAGTAACTCCAAAATGAAGTTGTACGTATTTTACTCTAATGTAAGCTTCATTTTTATTCCAAAATGGAGTTATGACTAAAAAAATGGAGAAACTCTAGTTTTTGCTCCATATATAGAGTAACTCCATTTTTTACTCCATTTTGGAGTGAGATTTGAAGTAGGGTTGGAGATTATCTTGCTCCAAACTCTATTTTGCAGTGAAATTTGCAGTAGTGTTGGAGATAGTCTTACTCAATTCTAGTGTTTCACAATCATGTAGCATATCGGCCATCTCTATCGAATTGTCGCAAAAAACGGTTAAAACAGAGTTAACTTTATCTTCTAAAAAAAGAAAGTGCTCGTGACGCAAACACAGATGGTGAAATGAGTTTCTCTGATATTAATACTAGAAGTCTAGAACGTAACGCCTTTTTAGTTTAAGAGTTGCTTTATCTCGGATACTTCTCCGCCCCATTCTCTTATCCTATCATCAGCCATTGCAGCCTACATAACCAACACATATACCTTGCATTAGAAACATCAAAGGCTAGCTTTATTTTGAAACAAGTATGTATAGATTTTTTTTTTTTTTTAATGTTGTTGACTTTATACCTCTTTGTCCCAATTTGTTTTGCAGATCATCCACGTCAAGACTATTGTCTGAACCACGGTTCCCGTCAACATCCCGCACCAGATTCCCTAATACATCAAAGATTCCGAATCATCGGTCTCTTTAAGTTCTAAACTTCTTTACGTTTTCAAAGGAATTAATTAGATGAGAAAAGTCATAATATCAGTTTTACCTTTACACCAAAGTTGAGTTTGTATCCTAACAATAAACCAAATGGGATTCCAAACAAGTAATAGCATGCGATGTTAACGTACGCTACCACTGCTTGCCATCCAGCTCCCACAGCCACCCCTGATTTTACAGTTTATTACCATATTGCCATCGCATTTAGTAAGCCTTAAATTGATGGATTTCACGTAAAATTTAAGTAATGGTTTGAGATAAATAGATAGACTACCTGATAAGACAGGTTGGACATTGTTGATGACAATGGAGAGTGCAAGTATTGGTGTGAGTTCTTTAACAAGAATGATGACTTCTTCATCGCCCACAAATAATGATGGATATTGATCTCTAAAGATGAGTAAAACGATCGATACAACGAATCCGATCAGCGTCGATGTTATCACTGCCACTAGTAGTGAGAACTTCGCGGTTCTTGGATGGTTTGCTCCTAACTCGTTAGACACTCTCACACTGCACCAGTTTTGTGATCATTTCAAGTTTTGATATACTCAAACTTATACCTCAAGGAGAGGTTAAAGAATAAAGTTAAGAGTGATGCAGGTGTGAAAGGCATGTGTTTCTTACCTTACGGCTGTGTTCATCCCAATTGCAATCATGGCGGTCCATCCCAAAATGTTCATGCTTAGAAAAGAAGAGAAAAAAGAATGAGACTTAAATCCAACGAGAATATTTAGTATTACTATTTTTTTTTTTTTTAAGTTCTTGTGTATTCCCATGAACATGTTTAACAAGTTGACATAATTTATATATTCGACAGTCTATTTTAGTCTTTTGAAATTTAAAAATATCTTGATGGTCTAGCTGATGAGAAATTGAAAAGGTAAGTATAAATATTAGTCTATATTGAAATAACTAGATGATATGATCAATTATATATTTTAGTATATATTTTGATGATAAAAAAAAAATATATAAACTATTGCAGAAAAGTATGAAAATCAAAGATTTAATATAAAGGGTCCCTTAAATTAATCAGTAGGGTTTCACTGCCCAAGAAAGCAACAACTAAGTTAGATGACCATAAGAGAGATTCGAACGATTAAGTCTATTACGCTGCATAGTCCATGCACGATGAATTAATTATAAATATCCAACAGAATCTTGATTGATGATAACTTAAAAAAAAGGAAAAAACTGAACACTACACACCGTAAATGACGTTAAATGAGTTTTAAAAAAAAATAACATTTGACATAACGTGTCTACTTATAAAATTGAAATATTTTACCAGATGGAGAGTGCGGCTACAGAGACTTCAGCATTCTTCAAATATCCAGCAAATAATATGACTGCCATAAAATACCACACCTCCAAACTTCAAAAGTAAAAAAAATTAATCAGAAATTTCACAAAAAAAACTAATTTTTTTATAAAAAAATATAGACTCACCAGAGCATAACAGCAGAAGCCAAAGACAATCTAACGAAACTCCACAAGTTATGAAAAGCTTCCCACGATAATCCAGACCAAGCCTCACCGCACGTGCCACTAAATATGTACACGAGCTGTGCCACGACAATGAACCACCACGAGCCGTTAAGCACGACGGCTAGACCGGCCATTCCCCACTTGAGCTTCCCCACGACAAACCACGTGAGGGGCACGTGGAGAACAAGCGCAACCGCGGCAATCGCGGCCATGACCATTATCTTGCTTTGCGATTGGAGGAATTTAGCGGTTGGAAAATTAACGGCGTAAGCGAATATTTGCGGGATCATGTATATGGAAAAGATTCCGGCGGCGCTAGAAATAGCCGGCGTTTGGCCGATGGACGCTAGGATTGGGGCGGCGAAGATGTAGAGGAGAGAGAGGATAAGAGCGGTCACGTTTAGGATCACCCATGATCGTTGTAGGTAAACGCCAAGCATTTTCAATTGTCCCGCTCCAAACGCTTGTCCACATAGCGTTTCCAACGCACTTCCCATTCCAAGCTAGTCATGTTCACAATCGCAGCCATATCAACATTACAAAACAAGAAAAAGTAAGGAGAATACTGAAAAAATATTCAAACGTGAAATTTTCGTTATAGATGTACGATTGGTTGATTACAAAGTAAAAAAAAATAATTGAATTTGCATCCTTTTCCAAATATGTAATAATTTGTATTTATTTCGGAAAAGATAACACAAAAAATCATTTTGTTTGCATTTGTATTTATATTTTTGAAATGATAACTATACTAAACACTAATGTAATATAAATCGGTGCATAGGAAGTCGATAGTAGTCTAATGTAATATAACACACCAATTATAACCAAATCGGTTGATAAATCAATCAACAACTAATGTTTTGTTTCTGTGGCAGACGTACAACTAGACGTCCAAACGTCAACATCAAATCTTTATAAATGTTAAATTTTAACTTTTGACAGAAAACTACAAATAAATATCTAGAAACATTTCACCTAAAAGAATTCCTAACACCAATCTATGTCTGGCTCGATTTATGCACTAGTGTAAAGATTTTTTTGAATATCAATCAAACAATAATAAAATACTCTAAAGTATTTTATAAAAATGAAAGTAAATCAAACTAAACGTTTTGAATGATAAACGCAAAACTCGCAAATGTTATAAGGGGCGTGAATGTCATTTTAGTAAATTTACCATGACGCCGAAGGAGAAGCCGGCGATGACAGAGTTTTCAACGGAGACGGCGGCGAGAGAGATGGTGCTGATGTGGCCGGCGAAGACCTGAGTAACGGCGCCAAGAGAATATTGGGACATCGACGTGAAAATAGCGGGACCGGCCAAATACCATAGCTTTTTGGCCTCCACGTTAAACTCTTTGACGAATCCACCGACGGTTGTGATCGGAGAAATATCATCGGCGGTTGAGTAGGGAAGAAGGGTCGTCGGGTCGGTGGTCTCCGCCGTAGAGAGAAGTGCCTCCGTTAGATTCTTGTCTTTTCCCATGTCGATGAGAGAGACAAAGAGAGAGAGAAATGGAGAGAGATTAAAGGAGGTGAAAGACCAATGACCAAAGAGTGAGGATCTTAATTGGGATTAATCATTCATGAATTCAATAGAGAATGGGTATTGTTTATGTATTTCTGACAAAAATTTGCCTTTGTGTAAATGATATATATATATATATATATTCAACTCTCCAAACAAAGAGAAAGTTATCATTTAGCAACTAGCATTTATGTTCATACCAAAAAAACTAGCATTTGTGTCAAAAAAAAAAGAAGGGAAAAAAGCAGCTAGCATTTTAATAAACTAATTGGCAAATGTGGGGAAAAAAAATTGCTGTGTTGGCAATAAAAATACAGGAAGAATACAAATGTATTTTGGTCATCTTACTAAATGATATCTGTCCATTTGAAATCTGGTCAAATAATAATATTTGTCTATTACTAAGCAATCATATTTCATATTTATATTAATGTGGAACTTTTCAACAATTTTGGAAAAGAAAATATTGTGATTGTGCTTCATAGATAGCATGCAAATAAATTTGTTAATTGATAAGAAGTGTATTCAAATTATAACGACAAAAGAATATTGTTATCTGAATTGCCGTGAAGAATTTAATCTCTTTGTTTTGTTGGTGTTGTTGTTGTCAAATTAATTTAAAAAGACTGTGCGGTGAACAGGCAAGTTGGTGGCAAATAACTTACACAAATGATAAAATATAGAGATGTAAAATATATACGTTATGATGTCTAATGCCACATGCCAAAACAGTCGGTCTTAAAGTTTTCATGGGAGATACAAGCAACAAAGAAACAAATCTAAAATACGATCTAAGACGATAAAACCATATAAAATTATGAAAAATTAAGGCCTATGTATTAATCCGAGAGAGACGATGTCATCAATTCACGAGTTTTGAACAATTTATCTCGAATGCAATAGTTGTTTTTGTTAGCGCTTCGCTAAACACTACATTGCCAACATTAGTGCCTCTAATTCTGAATAAACTGGTGATAAACTTCAACGATTAATACTCATGGCGCCCATCAATGGCTTTCCTTAAAACAAACCCATTCGAGGCATGAACACTGAGCATACTATATGGAAGAAAATTTAACCAAGAGGTTAAGTACAAAATCGAGGCATGAATACTGATCATACGATTTATCCTGAATTTATTCGTACAGCTATAATATTGTTGAGGTTTAAATATGGATTCGTAGCTTTTTTAAAAAAGAAAAAAAGGATTCGTAGATGTTTTCATTAAATTTTGTATTCTTTACCTCTTCAAAAAGAAAGAAAATAAACTATGGGCTGAACCAAATGCCCACCTATTGACAAAACTAAACCCACGAAAACCAGTCTTTGTTTCCACTGTGAAGGCCTGTTAAAAAATCCGGAATCAAAGTAGTGGTTTTAGAAAAACACATAATAAGTGGATCTAGCAATGCCACACGCACTGGCTACAAATGTTGACGTACGCGCTTTCTACTATACTGTATATTTTTGTTTTCATTTTTAATTGAATAATTCATTGACTACAGTGTCAATGCGTTAATCATTAAGATATTGTTCTTTCTAATACTGTACTCATTTTTTTTCTTAGTTTGGAACCTAAAAATATTCCATCTTTCTCGAACATTTACTGTTGTATATGCCTATACTATGTCACAAAGTCATAAACAAATGATAGGAATTTCTGTTAAATCTCGAACTAAACACCCACGGGCGTTAATTTCCTTTTTCATTAACGCTTTCTATTTTTTTTTTCTTCCAGGCATTAAATAATTTAAAGAACACACGTAAGCCGTGTAGTCCACGCGCCGGTCAAATCGAAACCGTAGAAAAAACACAAAGCAAAAGCAAAGAAAAACGGACTTGACTAGCTTTGGACGATCGAGAGACAGAGAGAGAGAGACTTAACACTATTGCGAAGAAGACGATGAACATAGTAGTAGCAGCTTCAACAATAAACCCGTAGAAATCGATACTCTCGATTGATTGAAGTTTTTTTCCACCAGATTTCATTTCTAATGGAAGAAGAGAGCCGAATCGGGGACGAGCTCTCGATTTCGGTTCTCACGGCGGAGCGCCTCCGTGGAGCGGTGGATGAGGCTGAATCGTTCAAGACGGAGTGCGGTGAGGTTGGTAAGCAAGTGGATCGGCTTGCTCAAATGCTCAGGACGCTCGTTCGCCTTGTCACCGGTTCTCAGCAGGTTTACGACCGGCCGATTCGTCGAGTTATCGTCGATGTTAAGAAGAATCTAGAGCGAGCTTATGCTCTTGTTCGCAAGTGTAGAAGACTCAACGTAATCCGGCGAGTTTGCACTATCATCAACGCCGCCGATTTTCGCAAGGTGGTTAACCTTCTCGAATCTTCCAACGGTGACGTGAAATGGATACTGAGTGTGTTTGATTCCGACGGAGACGGAAGCTTCGGAGGTGGAATCGTGATCTCGCTACCACCGATCGCCACCAACGATCCGATTTTCCCTTGGGTCTGGTCCCTGGTCGCGTCGATACAGATGGGGAAATTGCCGGATAAAATCGACGCCGCGAATCAGCTTGGTTCGCTTGCCGGAGATAACGATAGGAACAAGAAGATCATCGTAGACGAAGGAGGTGTTCCTCCTTTGCTGAGGCTACTCAAGGAGAGCTCATCGGCGGAGGCGCAAATCTCGGCGGCTACTGCGTTAGGGTTTTTGGCTTGCGACGAGGATAAAGTGAGGTCTATTGTTAACGAGCTCGGTGTTCCGATTATCGTTCAGGTTCTTGGGGATTCTCCGGTTAGGGTTCAGATCAAGGTAGCTACATTGGTGGCAAGAATGGCGGAACACGATCCGATTGCTCAAGACGAGTTCGCTAGACAGAGCGTGATCAAGCCTCTGGTTACGCTGCTTTCGCTGGACGTCTTTGTGGATGATCTTCAAGTTCCACTGAGTAAGCATAATAGCATTCACTCTCTTGTTCAGATGAACAAAGACATTGAGAAAGATGCATCCTTGAAAATTTACAGGCCGTATAAGAGTTCTAAGTCGAATGTGTATCGTGACATTGGTGTTAGTGGAAGTAGAACAACAGGGAATTTCAAGAAGGAGAGGGATAATGAGAATCCAGAAGTGAAACATGAGCTTAAAGTAAACTGTGCGGAAGCTCTATGGATGCTCGCTAGAGGGAATGTAGCAAACAGTAGGAGGATAACGGAGACGAAAGGTTTGCTTTCTTTGGCGAAGATAGTGGAAAAAGAAGTCGGAGAGTTGCAATACAATTGTTTGATGACGCTAATGGAGATAACCGCTGCTGCAGAGTCCAATGCTGACCTTAGACGAGCAGCTTTCAAGACTAATTCCCCGGCTGCTAAAGCTGTTATTGACCAGATGTTGTGGATAATCAAAGAAGTCGATAGCCCGATCCTGAAAATCCCAGCGATTCAATCGATAGGGTCATTGGCTAGGACGTTCCCGGCAAGAGAGACGAGAATGATCGAGCCGTTGGTGGAGAAACTCGGTAGTAGCGACCAAGAAGTGGCGATAACAGCTGTAATTTCGTTGCAGAAATTCGTCTGCCCCGAGAATTTCCTCTGTGCAGAGCACTCGAAGAACATAATCGAATACGGGTCAATCCCGTTGTTGATGAAGCTGATAAGGAACTTTGAGCAGCAAGTGCAGTTACAATGTCTGGTTCTGCTCTGTTACCTATCGATGAATGCTAGTAACCACGAGCAATTGGAACAGGCTAAGGTTTTGACGGTGCTCGAAGGAGCAGAAAGGTTGGCGAGTCTGCAGAATCCAGAGTTGAGGGAACTTGTATCGAAAGCTATATATCAGCTAAGTCTATACAATGCAGGAAGTCACAGCCAAATGCTATCTTTTGTTGGTCCTTAAAAAGCAATATAGTTTACAAGCTTGTTTGTTGGATTCTGGTACAGACAGAATCTCCATTGTTAGATGATCACAGGGAAAGAGCAAAAGCAAAATCTCTCATTTTGTTGATCATTGATTGATCAATCCTGCATTGTACATTACACGAAAACAAAACAAAAGTTAGATGGAAGGGTAATAAAACTGGCTTTGCTCTGTCTCATTTCGAATATTTATTTAGTTTTGTATTAATCATTTGAATGGTGTTTACTACTAATAACAGATGGAAACTGGTGTATCATTCTCTATAATTACCGCAAACTATTTTTAGATTGTTTGGTCTAATTTACACTTTTAAGTTATTAAATTGATTACTCTATTGTTTTGTCGAAAAAAAGAAGAAAATTGATTACTTTATTGTAATAAAATAGTTTAAGAGCTAATACTATGATAGATAGAGACCATATGTTTAGACTATGTTTTGTAGAGAGATATCTCATATATTGTCAGTAGATAATAGAATATTTTTCTTCTAAAATTTCGTTTTGAGCGTCAATTCACCTATATACTAATGTCTGATGGATAACTTTTAGAATTAGATTTAAATCTTGAAATCAAAAGTCACTATAAGTTCATTAGGGAATAGTGGTGTATTGCCTACTTAAGTTTCTCCTAAAATCGTAACCTTTTAATTCACCAAACACCCAACTTTGGTTTTTGTCTTCTTTTGGCAAATTAATCTTATAAAGCTTTTGTATTATGATGATACTTTTCTGTGTAATTGATAATATGTTGTTGCTTTCTATAGTTCCTCTTTGTCTCTCCATAGATAATTAGTTAGTTAAATGTTTCTTTTAGATTTTTTATTTGTCTTCGACAACAAATAGAGGTGTATCTCTCAATTCTCAAAGTGTAACAGTCCATGAGCATCATCACTCGCATATAGCCTCAAGTTATCCGTCTTGACTTCATAGGATCTTTGATATTGAGAGAATCTCAACCTCTTCGAAATGCCATGGTTGGTTTTTGCGTTGATGTAGTTAGTTTCCTTTGTTTTGAGGCATTTTTGTATTCTTCAGTCTTGAGGCAAAGCTAATAACCGGTTTATATTTATATGATCAAAGGCAGTGAAACAAAATCACAATTCCTTGTCAACAATTAACATAACCACATAAATCACGGATTGATCCACAGTGACATGAGAAATATTACTAGTGGAAACATCAAACAATTTATAAGATAACAAGTTCCTGTTTTTTATCCCATATTTTATGAAATCCCTAATTGATTTACCTAATTAATCCCATTTTATTTAGTTGGATTAGTGAAGTACATTAAATTATTTAACTAATTTTTGGAACCAAATATTTATAGGTAATGAAAGGTCTGGATAAGGTCTTTTTACTTTTATAATGTAAGAGTGCTAACGGTTGCTTATGATTGAGGAACAAGCAATTGCTAATGTCACAGGTCATTCCCCATTAACTCATTTCTATTATTACTCAACAATTCACCAGCTTTTTCTATTCGTGGTGTTATGAAAATTTATACTTAACATAATCAATGTCATATTATTAGTAATCTGGTCTTGGGTATCTTTATACTAATATGCAGCTATACCTTTCTGTGTATAAAGTTAATTAAAACCGAGATGTTTCATGCATCTTTCATGACATATAAAGAATATATAAACATACACACAAATACCTTGTATAGATTTCTGGTCATTTTTTTAATAATGGTTCAACACTTTTTAGTTGGCATTTGGGTTACCATTTTGGATTTTGTGTAGCAACATATTTAAATATTGATCTTTACACTAGCTTTTCATCTTTCTATTAATTTGGAACCTATTTAAAGAAAAAAGGCTTAAAATTATTGCTCATGAGAATTATTAATTAACGACGGAAAGAATGTCTTTTAAACCTACGAAAAAGGTGTAGAAAGAAAAGACATAAGTGTCTGATTGGTTTCATGTTGCTTGTGTAGATTTATAGAATTAGAATTCAGTCTAAGATGTGTCACATTGTACCGGCATTTATGTTTGGGGAAAACTTATAGTAAGTTTTCTAAAATTTTATAATAATGGCTTTAAAATAAACTTAACAAAATAAAAATTTGGGTGTTGTGAGTTTTGTATAGAGCATCCACCTACAACCTGTAAAACGTAATTGATAGGAAAGAAATCAAAATCAACACCTTACTTCTTGCCTTTCGGAGAATTGGATTTACGGTACTTTGGTGGGTGAATTGGTCATATGTTTATGGTTTGAATAGGCAAGTATTCAGCCTGAACCAAACTTTTAGATATTTGGAGTTTTAAACTTATTATCAACGACTAGTAAAAAATCTATTGTCAAATGCTATAGCCCGATGTATGTTTCCGATTGCTCACAATGGAATCGAGTTTACGCCTTGTTCTTTTGGAATTACAAAGGGTATTTCTGAAAATAGAACAAGAAAAAGGGTTAGTTAGGTGAAAGTATTGCTATATAAACCGTTCTACAAACTACCATTAACACAGCAAAAATATTAAGAAAAATATGAAGACAATGAAGAGTTCGCCACTTTTAGCTATCCTGCTCTGTGTCATTATCGTAGCCGCCGCCATCTCCACCATCTCTGTCGAGGGCCGTAAACATCACGTAAAGAAGATCAAACCCAAACACCGTCGTCATTCCAAAAATACCCCTACCGGCTCACCTGCACCCGCACCTTATCCGTCCACCCATGAGGGTGTTTTCGACATCCTCTCCTTTGGTGCCAAGGGAGATGGAGTCTCCGACGACTCAAAGGTATGCAACAAACATAATTCATATATTTTCAACATCAATGTTTTGTTCTAAAGCAATAGAAATATTAGTAGGAGGTCTCGATTGTTTGTTTGCATTTGCGTTTACTTTAATAAACTCAAAACGTTATATATATTTAAGCACAACTCTTTTGCTAATTGTAAAATGTAGACGAAAAACTTAAGTGGAAGGAGACCCGTTTGGGGCTTGCGTTTGCATTTTGCACAAATGAATTACGAAAACAGAAAAAAAAATGTTTTATATATCTAAAATATAAGTTTTAAAGATATATATGTATGTAGTTATTTTCCTGATTTGATTATGACATTGTATTATTGCGAGCTGCGTAGGCATTGGTCGGAGCGTGGAAGGCGGCTTGCGAAGTGGCCGGAGGGAAGATAGAGATTCCGGCAGGGAAAGAGTTTATGGTGAAGCCGGTGACGCTGCAAGGGCCGTGCAAAGAGGAAACAGTGATTCAAATAGAAGGAACCTTAGTGGCTCCGGGTAAGATAGGTTCATGGCCTAAGTCAAGCTTGTTTCAATGGCTTAACTTCAAATGGGTCGGCCACGTCACCATACAAGGCTCGGGGACATTTGATGCTCGTGGCTTTAACTGGTGGAACTTAGACACTTATCAAACTCACGTAAGGTTTTTTCTTTTCGATATTGAAACCGCATAGTAGATATTGTTAGAATTTAATCTGGATATGATGCTCAATATTTATTTTTCTATTGAATTAAACAAATTAAAAAAATATTTACAAATTTAAAATACAAACTTAATATAAAATTAAAAATTTCTATATTTTAGTTAGAATCCACATGATCGATTTTACATCTACATTTTATAGAGATTTTCATATCGTACATCAAGTTCCAAATCTGAAAAAATAAACAAACCAATAATTTTTTAAATATTATCAGTCTTTTATATTTTTAAATATCGCCATGATGTTTTATCAACCTATGTAATAATTGCTTTTCAAAAGTTCAGATTTGGGATATTAATGGAGACTGTTCGGGAAAGAAAATTTAATTCAAATGATTTAGTGTAAAAAGGAAAAAAAACTATTTTAATATATTACATTGCATGGTTTAATAAAGTTTTAGACTTCTATACTGATGTCTTCTTAACTGTTAACGTTTTCTTTTCTATGTTATAATTTCTTAGACTTATATATGTCTTTTTTAACGGTGTTGCTTCAATCTTCTTCTTTTGTTTTCAGAAGAGAAATAAGTATATCCCACCAATGAAACCAACGGTAAGTCTATTTTTATTCAATAATGTTATTATAATACATATTCATAAAATGTTATATGTATATAGATTGGTATATGCCTATTGATGGCTTATTTTATACGTATAGGCACTTAGGTTTTATGCAAGTGATAACGTGACGGTCCGTGACATAAGCATCGTGAACAGCCCACTGTGTCACCTGAAGTTTGATAATTCCGACGGAGTCAGAGTCAACAACATAACCATCTCTTCACCGGAAAATAGCCCTAACACCGATGGCATCCACCTCCAAAACACACGTAACGTCGAGATTCAACACTCCAACATCGCTTGCGGTAATTCATACTCTTTTACTAACAATTTTTATTTACTTGCTTTATAAAATAACTATATATGTTTTGTTAAAAGGAATAAAATAAAAGAACTATATAATACCATGGATTATGACGTTCTCAAAATTAAATATCATTCTTAAATTTTTCTGTCTCACTGATGCTAAATAGAATATATATATATATATATATATATATATATATATATATAAATGTATGCTTATAATAGATACCTTTATCAAATGTTTCTGATTGGTAGTTTATGGTTGATACTCGGAAAATTTTAAATTTTCTATACTTTAGTCGACTTTTTACCAGTAAAAACTATAAAAATAACACCAAGAACGCTTTTTTCTAAAATAAAAAATGCGGTTCCGCTTCAACAATTACATATGAAAGAAGTATTGAATGAGAATTTTGTTCTGCCATTTTTATCGTCCATTGCTCCAATGTTATGCAACTCTATCATATACAAAAAATATAATTGAAAATATAATTGAACATAGTGGTTGCCACGTTGGGACGCCAAAGTGAAAAAAACACTATTAATGAAGAAAGATATAAGAAATGTAAAATCCTTTATAAAGTATCATTAAATAAAGACATCAAACAGGAAAAGACATCATTGGTTGAAGAAATACACTTAACGGTATAACTGTCACCCAAACTAACTTTTTATGCAAACAAGCAAGCATGCAGAATGAAAAAGCTCTCTTTCCTTTAATTTATTCATAACCTTTATAGATAAATTAAGAGGGATATGTGGACCAAACATTCTAAATGTTTTAATATTTATTTAAATAAGTGAGGTTATATGGACCAGAGAATCTAAATGTTTAAATACTAAACACAAACCACACTATAATAATTTTAATAACCATTCTTATAGGATGTAATTCTAATTTGAAAATTT